CGGCGGAATCGACCGTTACAAACTTTTCGAGGCACACCACAATCTCTCGGGTGCTCTCCGACGACGTCTAACCGTCTAGGACCGAAGAGTCCAAGAGTAACAAATGCAAATCACGAGATTGATAATATGCACAAGTGCTCAAGTGGTGGCTTGCTCTCTTTTTCAAATTCTCTCTTAACCCACAAATGGATTTTGCGATTTGGATCACACACTCACTAAGAGAGGGTTTAGGAGAGTTGGCAAGGCTAAAAAATGTGTATGTGTATCAGCAGAATCAGCAGCATCAGCAACCTCCAAATGTGGAGGCTTGGGGGTATTTATAGCCCTCTAGAAAAAATGAATTATCTCTTTTGTCAGACCAGCAAAAAAACAGATTAGCTCTTTTGTCTCTCAAACACTCAAAACTCATATGGGTTGGCGTGAGCACTTATGAAATATTATCTATCAACATGATGCATCCCTCTTAATAGTACGACATACCTATTAAACTCAAGATAAAAGGAAAAACGAATTTATACCGCTTGAGTTGACCTCTTTTGAATTAATGTCGTCTCTTTCAATCTTCATCAAGTAAGGGTGTCTACATGTTGATATTGATCTTTTCATTTGAGCATAGCTATTTTGACCACGTGACTTGATTCCATTCATCAAATATGAATAATCTCAAATATATCAAGTCACTTCCATTAAACACTCAAATAGTGATTTGATCCTCCACATTAACATGATCATCATAGCTTGATTAGTACCTTAACTAAATGCAAGTACTTCCTTCTTCACCCTAGCTAGGTTCTTCGACCGCCAAGCCATCGCTTGCCCTTCACCCTTGCTTAGTACCTCGAAGCCTTTCCTTGCTATCTTCACCATCTGAAGCCATCAAGTCACATCTTGTGTTGAATCATCCATTCATTTATATTGTTATCTTTTTTATTTCAATTTAGCAAGCTTCAAATATGAGACCATTCCATATGCAATCCCTCTCATCTCATTAATTTATTCTTACGAGCTTGCTTTCACATATTACATGGAAATCCCATAATAAATGAGCCTTTGTATGAATTCCACTTGTATTGTTGTCTTGTGCTTGAACTAGATTGTTTATACAACAACATATCATTTTGGCTTTCATTAAGTACCTGTGAGATAACCTATCACCTGTCCACACTTAGCAAACGGGTTAGACCTTTAATCACGTTGTCATTCAATCATCCAAAACCCACTAAAGGGCTCGATACACTTTCACATATTCTTGGAGTCTTTTCTTTCCTCCTGACGGGTAAGTCTTGCGGAGTACAATTGAGTACTTAGGGTTTGTTCTACCCTGTTGCAGGTGACAGAAACATGTTGAGCTGGCACTTGTGTGTGGAAACCTCTGGTGGGCTCAGCGAGGATTTCCTTAACGTTGTGGACATAGAGTTTATTTAAAACTTTCATCTAAAATATTTTACAATGAAAAAACTTATAACCTGTTATGATGTATATAACAGATCAACATGTTAATGTTTAACTTGTCATTAAGTGATTTTATTTCTGTTGAGACTCTGATAACATGATTATATTCCGCTGTTATAAACAATAAATATTATATTCTGATGTTGCATGAAAAGTGTTGCAGAAAATGGCTAAAATATTGTAAGCTTTATTCTCTCATTTGTGATCTTGATGGAAAAATGTGGATTTTTGGGTTTTCCTATGGGATGTGCTTGACGGAACTGCCTGATGTAGCTCACCTTCGGGGTGCTTAGTGTCTGGTGGAAGACAAGCACCTCCGTAAGTGTGTTATTTCGGACGGTTCTATCACAGAAGGAGACTATCAAGAACGTTAAAGTCAAGTGAGAGGCCCAGTTCAACTCGAGTTCAAGTATGCCTCGGAATTTAGAGCAGCCCGCACTAAAATGGACGTCTAGGACGTACTTCATCTGTCAAAAAAATATACAATTCTAGAACGGTGTCATATTTTTTTATAAGTTTGACCAATTATAAATAAAAAATATAAATATTTTTAATATTAAATAAATATCATTAGATTAGTTACGAAATATATTTTCATAATCAATTGATTTGAATCCATAAATATGAATATAGCATTGTTCACTTGAACTACTTCAGCAGTACTTTTTAACGAACTAATAGTGTTTTCCTCTCACGATATTTAGCATAAGTATGAGCATAAGCCAAATCTAGAAACTTGTCGAACGTGAATTACTTAAACCGCACGCATACGATAATTACGTGCTTATGGGGACATAGGTAGTATACTGTTCATTTTTATGTTCGAATGGAAAGATAATTTCATACTTAGGTTCACATCAAAATTCTCCCGGAGTCGACGAGGGTCATCATCATAATAAGTCAACGTGGCGTATTTTCCCCCGGAGGACAGGAACAGTGAAATGCAAGAAACAAATTAAACCATACCAGTAAAGGACCTTCCCCCGGAGGTCAAGGATGTGCACGGCCTGCCCCAGCGACTGCATGGCCATCACGTGGTGCCTGGCGCACAGCCCGGCGCGGCCAACGGGCGGCGGGAGGGGTTGCCGTGAGGAGCTAGAGTACTGCCACCGCGCGCCAGCCGGCCGGGCGCTCCGGCGACCTCAGGAGCTGCTTGGAGATCGCCCGCCTAACAAGCTCCGCGTGTGGCGTCCGCGACGACGCTGCTTGGGGCGCCGGCGCGACGAGGAGGCGTCGTGGCGCCCCGTCGGCAGAAGCTCCGACAACTCACGCTTGAGCTCGGCCTGGCCCTCCTCTAGCTCTCACGTATCCTCTTTAGGAGCTCCTCGGCATCCATGGCTAGTACTGTCCTCGGATCAAACAGCGGCCAACTTAGGCGTCGGCTGCCAGAACTGAACTACTGAAGGAAGCGTAGGATGAGAAAAGATTGGAATCAGAGGGCGGCCAAGACCTTCTTATGTCATGCCTGACGACATGACGGAGCTTGCCGGATTGGATCCACCCTGTCCGCTCTCGCTGTGACTGTGAAGATGCATGGAGACATCACTCACGTGGATGAGCTAGGATGCTTTGAGAGAGGAGAAGAGCAGAGATGAACTCAGATCATCCTCGTTGTCGTTGGCTCCTTGTCCAGATGCTGACTGCAACTGTGCAAAGCTGCTGGTAGCTAGCTGGCCCTCGGAAGCTATTCCTCTGCAGTGACTTCACTGGTACGTAGGCTGAGAGAGCACTACTGCATAGGAGTAGCAGGCACGGTGCATCCTTATCCTGGTCTGGTCCTGATGCCAAACCACACATTACTTTCCCTCCATTGTTTAAGCTCAACCGCTTATGGCCTCGTTCGGCTTGCTGAATCTTGGCTAAAACTGGTTAAAAAATACTGTTCTAGTTAAATTGTTGTGAAAGAAAAATACTGTTCTGACTAAAAAAATAAGCCGAATATAGGGTAAGCCAAACGAGGCCTATAGGCGTTTCACTCCACACCATGCATATATTGTAGCTAGCCGCGCACACATACATATGCATCTTGTTTCTTTTTGGCCAAGCATATTTTTTAGATAAAAGAAAATTAATCTGGCCTCCAAGCATATTTTTAGATAAAGGAAAAATCAATCTAGCTAGCCTATGCGTTTCACGAATGGATGTTTATAGCGAGTAATACAGACCAAAATACCCCCTCCATTCCAAATTATATATAAGACATTTTGGTTTTTTAATACATAGTTTTTGCTATGCACTTAAATATACTCAGTGTCTATAGACATATAGTAAATGCAATTGTATCTAGAAAAGTCAAAACGTCTTATAATTTAGAATTGAGATAATAGCATTAAGTGTACTAGATGTTATAAAGATTCAGAAGAAGAACGATATAGGAGAGAAAGATAAAACTACTCTAAGCTTCAATGTTTTTGCTGAACTTATAGCCAAAATTATTGAAGATTTTCATTGCGGTGACTTATGATTTTCTACGCCCAATCTCCAAAAACATATATTTCTTCCTCTCTTTTGATCCAATAAGTCCTCCTAAAAGTAACCTACATGAAAGAATTAGTTATACCTTCACTGAAAATCAAATCATTTCTACTCAACCAAAATGGCGCAACAAAGAGAGTTGCGCCTACTAAAATTTGTATTCTAGGCTTAGAAGAAAATCCTTTGAACCAAGAACCAAACATATTAGATACAGTAGAAGGTGATTGAATGCCAAAGTGATGAATATGAAATTCCAAATGAGCCCAGCCGTATAGCATTATAAAAATAAGGTTTATAGTAGCCTTACCAATGCCATTTGATCAAATTATCTTTTGTTAGAATCAACCATTTTTGCATTGTCGTGTTTTCCTTGAGATGGCACTTTATTGATTTTTTGAATTTGAATTTGAATTTTCGTGTTTGAATATAGGATGTATCAAATAGGCAGAATACATAGCAGATGTGAAGAAAGAAAAACGTAAAACAGAGGTCTTAATTTGAAAGATCCTAGTAGATTTGAATCTTATTAAAATCATAGCATCTAATCAAATAATAGAAGAAGCTTGTGTAAATAAACGTCCCATTTGTTTGGACTGGTTTGACTTATAAGCCATGGCTGAAAGTACTGTTAACTGATTTGTTATGAGAAAAAAAATTATTCGTTGACTAATAAACCATGACTTATATACCAAATACGACCCAGCGAAAATACTGAAAACCAAGAGCGCTGATTTAAAAGCTACCGTTGCAGTTGCTCGTCCTATCCCAATATTTCACGAACCCCCGGCCAGTCGAAAGTCGAAACAGTGAGAGTACTCTTTCGGTCTTTCCGGGGGTCATCCTCACTATTTTCATCTGCCGCACCACAAGTTTGACGAATTCTGGAAAAACAAGAATCAAATTCCGTAGGCTCCAGCCAAATTCTACCAAACCACTAGGGACCGCAGCAGCAAGTCGCAAGTCGCTGCAGCCGCCCAGCCGACGAGCGTGTAATCTCACGCTGGCTTCAAGCCGCAACGAACTCCCTCCCTCGGCCATATCGCCCGCTGCTGCTCTATCCCTTTCCTGCTAGCATGGCCATGATGCTGCTAGCGCGCAACCTGCGCTCCGGCCTCCGCCCGCCGCTCGCCGCCGCAGCCGCGGCGTTCTCATCGGCCCCCGCGGCTTCGGCGGCCGCTGCGGAGGCGGAGCGGGCGATACGGGACGGGCCGCGGAATGATTGGAGCCGGCCCGAGATCCAGGCCGTCTACGACTCCCCGCTCCTCGACCTCCTCTTCCACGGGGTACGTACGCCCGCCCGTCACACATGTGCATGACACACCACTGGAATGGAATGGACACCTCGCGATCCCAAATTCCACCGCTAATCCTCTGCTGGCGCTCGGGTTTGGTACTGGATTAATGGCCTCGCCGGAAATTTAGTGAAAGATTCTGTCTTTGAGCTTCTGGCAGTTGAAGGACGTAGATTTACGAGAATTTACTGGCGGTTATGTTTAGAGTCTTTGGGTTGTGAATGCTAGGTTTGTTGCATGAGAGGTGCTAGTACTAGTTGAATGTCAAAAAAAAATTAACCGTGGAGATTGCCACAGAGTGTCGTCGGTTGGGCAAATGCCAAAAATGTTTCATTTTGGGGTTCTGGTTAGCGATAGTGATTGACATTTCAGCTCAGTGGAACTTTGGATGAGGACAGTGGGTATTTTTATTTGCTTTCTCAGATATATGAATATATTGGGTGTGTTCGGCTACCAAATGAAACATCAGTCCATGTTCAGCTAACACTTGATGGATTTAGTACACAGATATTAGTGGTATGCCACCCAAGTTTCGTTAAGTGGTGGTGATGAGCATCGACTCTGTCAATTTAGGTTTTAGGACTTTTAACCAGTGGAAAGCCCCAATTATCAACACTTCAACAGTGATGTCAACGTCATTGGGTTCTTTTTGAACTTTGCGTCCAGTTTTTTTGACATTGCTGCAAAGTATTTAGTGTTGAAAGCCAAAGACAGACTTTTCATATTATAAAAATTTCGACCTTGTTGCGTGTGCAAGAAAAGACTGTTCATATGGACTTTGGTGTCATCTGTCAAGCTTATGTGTTCATAAGTTTGTAAAAAAGGTGAGCAATTTATAAGTCCATCTGTAGTGTTGGTAGGAAGGTACTGCCCCCAAGGCCCAAGGGCCGTATAGCCTGTACTGTGGAGCCGTGGAAATTCACATCAAGCCTTTCCCTCGTGGGGGTTTTCAATAGTTGGCACTGCAGTTAATGGAAAGTTTCACTTTTAGGAGCAGGAATGGGATGTTCTCGACAAGTTTTTCTAAGATTCACCACTAGAAGGCTGTATGGTTGTTGATTCTTCTCGTACCTATTAGGCAGTTGTTGGAGCAATGGAGCATCGCGTAATTCTGTAGAGGAAATCTATATACAAGTCCATAATGCTACGAATTTCCAAAATTGTATGTTACCTATAGGAAAGGCTAGTTATTGTTGTAAACCATGGAGTGAAGATCAGGCATGATGATTTATTCAATTTCATGATTATCTGATAAATGCAGGCCAATAACAAATTTTGCGTGACTAATGTCCTATTCAATATATTTGGTCAAAGTAACATATTCATTTGCGTGATCTATATTTTGCTTGTTGGAATCTGCCGGCAGCACTGCACAGGTGAGCAGCAGCTTCAGTCTCTCTCACACACACTACACTTGGGGCTGGGCAGAAGGTAGGAGAAAAGAGGGGGAGCACAGAACACACACGCACAAGCACCAGCAAGTGCTGCTGAACTGAACTACCTATTACATTACCATAGTTGCATATATACACACAGAGGTAGCTAGTGAAGATGGACTGATATAGCAGTCAAGTCTACTGTTCTACTTGGCTGCCTTGCTAGGAAATTGCTCTGCAGTTGCAAGGGAATTGAACTGCAGTAGCAAGGAAATTTAGTATGCAATTGCTTGCAGACTTCTCTGGAAGACAGCAGCAGATTATCTTGCATTGCTGTTTGGTGGGCTAAGGTAATCCTCATGATCAGTAAGGAGTACAGGAAAGGAGCAAATTCTCTCATCACTCTAACTATGTGGTTGCTTTGGAAGCACCGTAATGCCTGTGTCTTTGATGGAGACTCTCCTTCTGATAGCGAGTTTGTAAGACAATTTAAGGATGAGTATATGCTCTGGTGCCTAGCTGGAGCTAAGAAACTTCAAGCTCTCAGACTAGATAGGGTAGGAGATTTTGGATGAGTCTTTTCCTTGTTGTTTGGTCATCAAAAGTCTTTTTCGAGTAATCGTGTTGGTATTGTATACGGGCCATTGTTTCCTCTCTGTAATACAAAGATACGCAGCTCTCCTGCGTATTCGATAAAAAAAATTGGTGTAGAACTATTACATTCCTGAGCATCTTGACCCATCATTGATTGTAAGCATTCCTTGGAGTAACTCCACAAATTGCTAGTTTGTAAGACGTATTCAAATGCTTCATTGTTTGTTGAAGAACACAATGTTCTTTTACAATATGAGTTTACCTGTGATGGAGCATTTAGCATTCATGTGATTACGTAGTTAATAGGGTAGCAAAAATTCTGGTGTGCCATTTGTTCTTCTCATTACTGAGCAACCACTTTATTTTTTCAGGCTCAGGTCCACAGAAATACCCATAAATTCAGAGAAGTGCAGCAGTGCACACTTCTTTCAATCAAGACTGGTGGGTGCAGTGAAGATTGTTCTTATTGCCCTCAGTCATCAAGATACGACACTGGATTGAAGGCCCAAAAATTGATGAACAAAGATGCTGTCTTAGAAGCAGCAAAAAAGGTATTGTTAATGTAATAATTGTCTGGGAGGTGAAAAGTTCACTTCAGCTGTTTTTAACTGTCGCAAAGTGACATCTAATCTTATTGTTGATTGTAGACTTATAACTTTATAACGCATGAAATTCTGTACAATATTATTATTGCTCACGGTACACTATTCTATATATTGCTCCTTTTTCTAATCTTTTTTTGTACAGGCAAAAGAGGCTGGGAGCACCCGTTTTTGCATGGGAGCTGCATGGAGAGAAACCATCGGCAGGAAAACAAACTTCAACCAGATTCTTGAATATGTCAAGGAAATTAGGTATTCATTGGAATCTTTTGTTTATACGATAAAACTATGGTATATATATGACGCATGTTCTGCATAACCCTGCACAAGTTTTTGTTAGGTCAATGTTCTATTACTATGGCTTTGTTCACCTAATTTGTATTTTCTCAAAAAAAAACTAGCTTTGTGTATTCACCTACAATATACAGGCCATTGACTTAAAGGCCTTAATTGCATGGAATATGATGATATATCCTGTCAACAGAAGTTTAAGCATGATTATTATACTTTATTTCAACATTTTAGCATGCATTGGATAATTGAATATGCAGGGGTATGCGCATGGAGGTCTGTTGCACACTGGGCATGATAGAGAAACAACAAGCTGAAGAACTCAAGAAGGCTGGACTTACAGCATATAATCATAACCTAGATACATCAAGAGAGTACTATCCTAACATTATTACCACAAGATCATATGATGATAGACTGCAGACTCTTCAGCATGTTCGTGAAGCTGGAATAAGCATCTGCTCAGGTGATTCTTCGAAGTCACTGATGTTTCTTGCTTTTATATGAGGACTGAGGACTGCCCTGCACAATGCGATCCTCTTCCAGCTTACAAAAAACTGGGGAATATACTTCTTTGGTAGTTCAGTGTATAATATGGTGCTACATTTTTTTTTCAGGTGGAATCATTGGTCTTGGTGAAGCAGTGGAGGACCGGGTGGGGTTGTTGCATACACTAGCCACCTTGCCTACACACCCAGAGAGTGTTCCTATTAATGCATTGGTTGCTGTAAAAGGCACACCTCTTGAGGACCAGAAGGTATACGTACTGCTGATTATTTTGTATAGTTTAGGTGGTTGCAGCTAGTGGTAGTGGGTGATCCTGCATCTCACACATGGAAAACATGCCTATCTTTGTATAATACAAGTCATTGATTGCGCATTGTTGGCTACAATGTGTAGGAGTAGATTATAAGATCTGCACATGCTGCCTTTTTTTTATTTGTTCATGCTAACTAATGTTCCACATCAGCCTGTAGAGATCTGGGAAATGATCCGCATGATCGCCACTGCTCGGATCGTGATGCCAAAGGCCATGGTGAGGCTTTCAGCAGGCCGAGTACGGTTCTCCATGCCAGAACAAGCGCTCTGCTTCCTTGCCGGTGCCAACTCCATCTTTGCCGGCGAGAAACTTCTCACAACCGCAAATAACGACTTCGACGCGGACCAGGCAATGTTCAAGATCCTTGGCCTAATCCCCAAGGCTCCAAGCTTTGGCGAGGAAGAGGCGGTGACTCCTGCAGACACCGAGAGGTCTGAGCAAGCTGCTTCGATGTAGAATATCATTACCGAATCTCTGTATCACAGTTAGGGCAAAACTAGAACTATTGTTATTATAGCTAGAGCATTGTATTGTAGAAACCACAATATCATTATTTTGTAGTTGCTTCAGACTGACTGGAAACAAAATAAGGAGTGCCAATATATGTAATGTAAGTTTCAATCTTTGTTCTTTGACCTCTCTGGATGCAGCATCACCGGCCATCAGTTGTCTGACGGCTTGTGATCATGCGAGCAGGGTTTGGAGAGCAGTCGCTCTCTGTGATTGGTTCTTCCATTGTCAGGAGCTCCATCCAGTTCCAGATGGATTCGCGGACTGGGTTGTCAGTTGTGGTTGGTAGGCTGGTAGCTTGCCGCATGTTTGTGCGTGTACTGGCATGATACGGGCAGACTCCGGTGTGTGGTGTCAATTTGTCAAATCACATGGAGTACCATGGGTCGTGCTGCTCATGGCAAGCTGCGGTCCATAAGTTTCAACAAACACCGACAGTCATCGCTTGGGACATGTGCTAGGGCGAGTTACTAATTGGGCTAAACACTGGCTTAAATTAGCTGAGGTTGGCCAGCTTGATAGCTAGCAACTAGTTGAAAGCTTGAAAAAAAAAAATAGCCAACCTATTAGCCCTCTTCATTGGATGCACTAGAGCTAATTTTTAGCTAGCTAGAAATTAGCTCTGGTATCCAAACAGATCCTAAATAAAACTTATCTTTTGATCAGATTTATAAAACTAAATATATCAATCTTTGTGATACCAGATAATTATTATTTTATTTTTCATTTTTAATAGTATATCTATTTGGTATCTAAATATTTGATACTCTTTTCTATAAACTTTAAATAGTTTAACTAAGGACATGCTTAGAATTACATCATTTCAGGATGGAGATATAATATTTCTATACAAATACAGGTACATGGGATTGTTCGCCCTCGCTCTCTTAGACAACTTGACTTCGCCAGAGCATAATTTGTGTCCACCCCTTTGACATATAGGGCAAGGATCTAACAAGCTTAAGATATATACTATATTTAGCCTACCAAAACGTTCTTTTTTGATGATGTCACTATGCACATCATCATCCATAAATTGTCGTTGTGCATTTGAATACTAGTTCATACGTAGACTTTCTATAAGAGCATTTCCCGCAGGTCCCAATACTTTTCCCTATCCCCATAAAATTATCATATTGAGGACAATTATGCTTTTTTCTTGCTCCAGCAGTTCCCCAATACATCTCCTTTTTTGGTGGTCACCAAAATTTCCCTTATCTCCCCTCAAAGAAAGAGGGAGATACAACTCTCCTAATACTATGGGGACCATCCCAACTACCATTTTTCAGCCATATTTTCTCTTACACTCCTATGGGACTCACCTTTCATATGGGTATTGGGAGATATATATTGGGGTACTGCTACAACATCTTCCCCAATAAATCTAGAAAGTAATATTGGGCTACCCTAATACCATCTTATTGGGGGATTCTCTGGAGATGCTCTAACCAGACTAGTAATAGTAAAACCAAAACCAATGTTTTCTCGGTAAAAAAAGAAGACAATGTTGCATTCAAATTTTGCAGTGCAGATATTATCGTTTTGTAGCGCATATATTCAAAAATGCACAAACATCTACAAACACCAAACTAAGTTTATTAGATGCGCCATGACATATATTTTGATAATGTATTTATTTAATATTATGGATGCTAATATATTTTCTATAAACTTGATCAAAGTTATATAAGTTTGTGTCGGGGTTATAACCCTAGGGTGTCTCAGGGCACTGATTAGTTAGCAGGCCGAGCGACCCATAACACATCAGTTAACGAAGGCCCGAATGACCGAGGCCCAGCTAAGCCAGGAGAACCAGGCCGGACGCTAAGGCCTGGGTTAGCCACGACGCCACCCTCGCGCCTTAGCTACACGGCGCTGGAAAGGCGCACGACCTCTCCCCCATCACGACCCCTGGAAGGAACGGAGAGAGGTCGAGCCCAACCAAGGGTGCCTGCTCCGACAGGAACAAGCACGCCGCACTGGCCCCGCAAGGACCGAGGGGACAACAGTCACCTCGGTCCGGTCAGACGCCATCCCTGTTGAAAGCTCTAGTTTGGGTTTGGTGAATTGATGAAACCCTAAGTGCTAACCTAGTTTATCAAAGTGATCATGAGATAGGTAGCACATTCCAAGTGGTGAAGCAAATGAAGATCATGACATGATGATGGCGATATCATGGTGATGATCAAGTGCTTAGACTTGAAAAGAAGAAAAAGAAAAACAAAAGGCTCAAGGCAAAGGTATAAGTGGTAGGAGCCATTTTTATTTTGGTGATCGAGACACTTAGTGAGTGTGATCACATTTAGGATCGATAGCCGTACTATTAAGAGGGGTGAAACTCATATCGAAATGCGGTTATCAAAGTGCCACTAGATGCTCTAACTCATTGCATATGCATTTAGGATCTAGTGGAGCGCTAACACCCTTGAAAATGTCTGTGAAAAATATGCTAACACACATGTGCACAAGGTGATACACTTGGTGGTTGGCACATTTGAGCAAGGGTAAGAAACTTCACCGGCGGAGTGTTCTCCCCTAGAGTGCGAACAGTCTGACGGTGCCACCGGCGCTCTATACAGAAAAGACGAAGGTCACTGTAAGTGACCGGACGCTGGTCTTGATAGGACCGGCGCGTCCGGTCAATGGAAGCGTGAAGACGCTGGCGTCGGTCTTCGACCGGATGCTGGGTCACTTAGTGACCGGACGCTGACGGGGTGCGTCCGGTCTTGCTGACGTGGCAGCGCACAGAGGAGACACCGAGTGACCGAACGCTGGGTGAGTCTGGTCGAGCATGACCGGACACGTCCGAACGTGATTTTTCGCTTCAGGATGCTTACTGGAAACGACCGGACGCTGAGGTCCAGCGTCCAGTCACTTTGAGCAGCGCGTCCGGTCACTACTTAAATGTACTGATGACCGTTGAGATCAGGCGACCAACGTTTGAATCAAGGGACACATGGCGTGCATCGCGCGACCGAATGCTGAGGTTCAGCGTCCGGTCAATCTGACCAACGCGTCTGGTCGGCCCGTGTTTAGTGCAGTGAGGAGCCCAACGGCTCTATTTGTGGGGGCTCTCTATTTAAGCTCCATGGCCGGCTCAAGCTCACACTCTTAGCCATTTGCATTGACATAGCAACCTTGTGAGCTTAGCCAAAGCCCTCCCACTCATCTTCGTCATAGATTCAACATCTTTGTGAGATTGGGAGTGAATCCAAGTGTATTGCTTGAGTGTTTGCATCTAGAGGCACTTGGTGTTCGTGTTTTGCTGGGGGATTCGCTTGTTACTCTTAGTGGTTGCCGCCACCTAGATGGCTTGGAGCAGCGAGGATCATCGAGCGGAGGTTGGTGATTGTCTTTGGCTCCAATCGTGGTGATTGTGAGGGGTTCTTGACCTTTCCTCGGCGAAGAGCCAAAAGGTACTCTAGTGAATTGCTCGTGGCTTGTGTGATCCTCATCTTGTGTTGGTTGTGCGGCACCCTATTGAGGGTTTGGCGTGTGATGCCAATTAGCGCGTGAACCTCCGAGTGAGTGAATCACCACAACGAGGACTAGCTTGCCGGCAAGCAAGTGAACCTCGGTAAAAAATCATTGTGTTCATCATTTGATTCTGAGGTGATTGGTCTTTATTGGTATTCATTCTTGTGATTGATTGGTTCACTTCTCGACACGGCGGTATAAACAAATTGCTCACTCTCTTTACATTACCGCAAACTAGTTGTCAAGCTCTTTAGTGTAGCTAGTTGTGAGAGCTTGTTAGTTTGGTTAGTGTGGCTCTTTAGTTAGCCTTTGAGAGCACACTTAGTGTAGTGACATAGCTATTGTGTGGATAGAAACTATATAAACTAGAATTGTGGTAGGTGGCTTGCAATTTTAGTAGGCTAGCGCAACACTTGCTTCGCCTCATAATTGTCTAACCGGTTTATTAAGTGTTGTTGTAGAAAATTTTTAATAGGCTATTCACCCCCCCTCTAGCCATTAGGACCTTTCACCTGTGCCACGCTGCATAGACAAGACAATACCGCCCAAAGCGGTGATGACAGGTACGATGACTATCGCTAGATACGGCCGACGAGATAAGAGTACGATCTTGCCCACTACGGGATGGGATCCACGACGAGGGCCCCGACTCAGAGGCCATCCAGGCTGGCGGGAACCACAATCCCAACAAGGGGATCATGGCCCCTCGCTCCTCAAGACAACAAGGCAACCAACGACCCGGGGGCAGCCACCAACTCCTGTACGACGCCCCAGGAAACCAGGAGACGATGACGAAGACCATGACGGAGACCACATCGCACAGGACGGCTGGTGAACTACCATTGTGCTACAGTGCCACCATGGCCGGCACAGTAGCACCATGCCACACCATGCCACGACGTGGCCACAAGACCATGATGACAGCCATGCCCGGACGCACCTCGCAAGATGGCGTAGCTTGCAAGCCAAGTTAGTTAGGACCTCCCTCAGGCTCATGACCTTTGGTCGAGAGAACCTATTGCTTTGTATGCGCCCTGGCCTCGAACTCTATATAAGGGCAGCCAGGGCACTCTTTCTAGACATTCTGAGTCCCCTACTCATTCACTCATTCTCCATCATAGCAGGGCTCCTGAAGCTTCTCTTCAGGCTACCCGTCACCTAGCCTAGATTCTTCTACCCCTTTCACCATTCTTGCATCCCCCATTGTAAAAACTTTAGAGCATTCAAGCGAGGAACATGCACTCGATCATCTCTGAGATTGGACGTAGGGCTCCGGCCTGAACCAGTATAAATCTTTATGTCTTTTGGATGCTACCATCGTCTTCCTAGAACAGCGCAGCAATCGTATAAGTTTACTAGTCCGGTTTACGAAACACCGACAATTTGACTTAGCACAAAGCTGAAAACGACTTACATTTCAAAACAGAGGGAATGTGTGTTATCTATATCTAATAGGGAATTAGCAAAGA